TTAATTATAATATTAAGTTCTCATAAAGTTGACTGTCCCAATAATTGTTCTGCAATGTAACATGATATCACTATCATTTTCAAACAGGAGCTACAAATAAATCCTTTAGAGCAATACTAGGGATGTCCCAGGTTAAATCGTCATGAAGAAAAAGAAAACAGTCTGAATTATTAATGCAAGAAAATCAAGCAGTGTGGCTTCTTTCCATTGGGGTCTTTTAGTTTTCTTTCCTTGGCTGCCAACCATAACAGATGACTTATACAGAGGTATGTATTTACTGCTAGGTGGGAGACTTGTCCATACATTTCAGCTATTATTATTATTATACATTCATGAGAAAGCAGTAAACCCAGAACTATTTCTTCAGTCTTATAGGTATCAGGAAGTGGAGGAGACAGGCTCCAAACATTATTTTATCAATACACTAGATATGATAGGGCCCAAGAAGTTAGGTAGTAAACCCAACAAGTGACAAGTCTGGAGGAAGTGCCAGAAGCTGAGATTCAACCCATGCAACCACAAACAGATGAAAGAGAAGAGTATAGCTAGGGTGATGTAATACACAGAGGTATGGCATGATGTATGGGCATCTCCTTAAACCTACTGCCTCTCTTTATCTTGCAGTAAATATTATTATTATTACATTTTGGGGGAGGGAGGAAAGTGCTAAATCCATAAGGATTATACAGAGCCTGGGGATGGGTGGCACCTATTTTTAACCCAAGGAAATGGAGGTTAAGTCCAATTCTTCGGATCAAGAGTTCATCGCCAGAATCAAGGAACTCCCCATTAGGGGCTGGCAGTAAACTGATATACCTAGAAGTTATCACCATTTGTGAGTTGAAATTTAGGAGAGAAGACATATAGACCTCAGTGGAAATAAGCAGTACTGCTTGATTTTTTTGGGTTATTAACCCTCCATAGTTAACAATCTGAAGAAACTAGTCTTGTGTCACTCGTAGCTCATGAGGTAGTGCCTTTGGCTCGCATCTGAAATACCCAGGTTAAGTGCAAACATTGGGTATGTTCCTTCACACCTGTTATCCCTGTTAAGAAAAAGAATAAGTTTTTATTCAGGGTCATTACATAAGTAGATATTTACAACTGTCTTACATAGTAACATAAGTGTAAATTAATCAAGAAAAAAGCTTAATGCATAAAGTCAAACACAATGACTCATGTGCAGAGTTCTGTGTTACAAGAATATACCAGTTATAAATATTAACAATCATAACAATAAAAAAATTAATATATCAGTCAAAGTGAAATCATTTACATAAAGTTACATAATTATGTTTCCTCTACTTTTATTAAAACCAACAAAAAGTAATCCCAAAATGAATACTGTATATCAGATGAAAATACAGTACTAATTATGCGAGTATATCAGTTACATAATTATATCACCTACATTATAACATATGAATATATCAGTTATATAAATATATCAGTGATGGTACATGAATATATCAATAATATGAATATAGTAATTATAAGAACGTATATCAGTTAAGAGAATATATCACTTTTACGACTGTATCACATGATTACATCAATTACATGATTATATCAGTTTTATTATTATATCAGTTACATAATTATATTCACATGAATATCTGGGTTAAATGAATATGTGTTAAAGCAATACAAATTTTTTCTCTTCAACTTTGATAACTATTAATAACACAAAGTAAAAGGGAATATATTATATACTGTAGCTATACAAAAACCAGTTACATATATAAGTTTTATTCACCTTACCATTATAAATACGATTAAAAACAATAAAAATGCATATATTATTCTTTAGCTCTATTTATTTTAATTTATTTCTATGGTTCTGAAATGATCTGGCTCAACTGGTAGCAGCTTCAGCTCACACAATGAGGGACCTGGGTTCGATCGCCGGTAGGGTGGAGATGCTGGGCATGTTAGTAAGTTCATTTAGGGACAATCTTACACAATTTTGGATGATTACAATGGTTTTTACTAACATACGTAGGAATTACCATGCATACCCCTCCCCCCAGAAAAAAAAAAAGTGACTAATTTCCATTGGGGTTCTGGACTTGATCATGTTCAACTAGCAGTATGTACCTGGGTGTTAGGTGACTGGTATGGGTGGCATCCTGGGGGAAAGAGTAAAGGATTAAAGGACCCCAATGGAAATAAGCCAGAGTGGCTTTATTATGAGCATCCTAGGTTACTAACCCTCCGGGTTAAAAACCCAATAAAACACCTGGCTAAACCTCTCATTTAACTTATATTTAACCTCTTAGTGACGTAATAGAGTCAATACTCCGGTAAGAGATCAGTTAAGTAATGATCAAGAAGGAGAAGTGGTCAATACAATACAGTTTATTAAGTAATATTACCTGGAGATCAAGACAACAGCATCACAAACACTTCTCAGATGTTGTTCATGTTGGTACATAAAGGCCGCTGTAACCTAAGTCGTAACGAGCCCCACCTTCCTCCTCTCCTGGGCTCAAATATTAACCTAATCTGAGATTTATCAATGACTAATTAGCAAAAATGTGCTTCTAAGTGCAAAAAAATGCTCGTCGCAAGTCAAAAATCCGAGAGAGAGAAAAGAAACGTCCTTATGTCGATATGGTTGCTGACCGGATCTCATACATCCCGTATTTTTTTTGTATGTGAAAGTATTTTAGGGTGTGAGTTAATTTTTCAGGTCCTAAACGTGGAATAAATGGGTCTAAATTGTGTGGGAATTATGCCTTACATGGTCACAGCAAGCACAGGTCTCTCAGGTCAAAGGTCAGCGCAGAAGTGTACTTGGTGTGCTTAAAACACTGGTTAAAGTAACTCTCTCTCTCTCGTTTTTTTTTTACACAGGTTTTGACAAGATTAAGGATCCCTAGCTTTATTGACAATCTCTCTCTCTCTCTCTCTCTCTCTCTCTCTCTCTCTCTCTCTCTCTCTCTCCTCTCTCTCTTCTCTCTCTCTCTCTCTCTCTCTCTCTCTCTCTCTCTCCTCTCTCTCTCTCTCTCTCTCTCTCTCTCTCTCTCTCTCTCTCTCTCTCTCTCTCTCTCCTCTCTCTCTCTCTCTCTCTCTCTCTCTCTCTCCTCCCTCTCTCTCTCTCTCTCTCTCTCTCTCTCTCTCTCACTCTCTCTCTCTCTGGCCTGGTGGCTAAAGCTCCCGCTTCACACACGGAGGGCCCGGGTTCGATTCCCGGCGGGTGGAAACATTTCGACACGTTTCCTTACACCTGTTGTCCTGTTCACCTAGCAGCAAATAGGTACCTGGGTGTTAGTCGACTGGTGTGGGTCGCATCCTGGGGGACAAGATTAAGGACCCCAATGGAAATAAGTTAGACAGTCCTCGATGACGCACTGACTTTCTTGGGCTATCCTGGGTGGTTAACCCTCCGGGCTTAAAAATCCGAACGAAATCTTATCTTATGTTATCTTATATATATATATATAGTAGCTTATTGCTACTTTGTCTAACTATGTGCTTCTCAGACTTCTGCTTTGGTGATGGAGTGAAGTTGTCTGGCTTTCTACTCACTACCATCAGTATCGGTGTTGAATCTTTTTCACTGTCGTTCCTTGGGACGTTGGCTCTCATAATACGCTGGTCGGGGCGCCATACTTCAGCTTTTTCTAGGCTACCGGTGAGCCTATTGTTGTTGACTTAGGTACTGGTTTTACTCATTAATACATATTTGCAATATATGTGATTACAGGAGTCGAGTCATAGCTCCTGGCACCGCCTATTAGCTGTCTGCTAATGAGTTCACTCTCTCTTGGCTTCATTTGCCCCCGAGTCTGCACTCCGTCTGTGGTCTTTGTTATCCAGCATTCATCATAACTTTGCACTTGGTGAGGTTGAACTCCAAGAGCCATTTGTCAGAACAAGCCTGTACCCTTTTCTGGTCCTCGTCTGTTTGTATTATCCTCCTCAGTTGCACGTCGTCTGCAAAGAGGGTTGCCTCTGAATTTATTCCTTTTGTTATGTCATTCATATACACAAGAAACAGCACCGGGCCTAGGAGCGGTCCTTGTGGAACACCACTCGTCACATGCACCAATTCCGATACCTCTTTACGGACCATCATTCATTGTTTCCTTTCTCTCAAGAATACCTTTTAAACATTGCAGTGCTTTTCCTCTTATCACTGCCTACTTACCTAGCATTTGTACGTCTCTTGTGTGGTACTGTGTATTCACCTATATGAGGGTTCAGAGGACGGGTCACAGCCTTCTCGCTGGTCAGGTTTATCTTCTATTTCTTCTCAAGCTCATAACCTTTAGCTTCGGGACTAGTGTACTCACCTATATGTGGTTGCTGGGGTAGATGCACAGTTTCTGTACCTACCTATTTATACTCACCTATTTATGGTTATAGAGGTCGATTCATAGCTCTTGGCCCCTCCTCCTCGCTGGTCATTTCTAGGTGCACTCTCTCCCTGCTCCAAAAGCTTTATCGTACCTATTCTTAAAGCTATGTATGGATCCTGCCTCCACTGTATCATTCTCCAAATTGCTCCACTTCCTAACAATTCTATTACCGAAGAAATACTTTCTAACATCCCTGTGTGTATGTGTGTGTAGGAGTGTCTAGCACTGCCGAGGATTTAGGCAAGAGAGTCCACCTGATTAGATTGGGAACCTATTGTTGCCGTTTCTCTCTGCTAGCACACTCATCTTACACACTGAGGTCCGGGGTTCGATCCCCGGTACGGCTGGAAAACACTAGGACGAGTTTCCATAAGACACCTGCTGTCGCTGTTCACCCATCAATAAAATAGGTACCTGTGTGTTAGTGGACTGGTGTGGGTCACATCCTGGGACAAAACTGACCTAATTTGCGGGAAATGCTCAGCATAACAAGCGGCTTTCTATATAATAGTATGTCAGTGATGTCAGCTATGGTCTGTATACCTTGTACATGTACTTGAAGAAATAAAGATATTGTTATTAATATTATTATTAAAGAATTTTTTCTGGACTCCCAGGAAGCAGGGTTCAATAAGGCTGAGTTTTGTTACCCCTTAACAACTGCAACACAACAACAGTTTGAAGCTCCAGAAACACAAACAAATCTGTCACTCCAGCAACAACCATTATTTAAAACTTAAAATAACCAACAACTACGCAGTCTACATCACAATTTCGTGTAGTCACCGGGAGAAGAAACCTCTCAGTAAGTTGCAGGGGCTCTTGATCTAGGGAATTTGATCTGTGCTCCGGTTTCCTGAATTAAGCCTGAATATGTTCCACATCCCCCCACAGGTGTTGTATAATCCTACGGGTTTAGCGCTTCCCCCTTGATTATAATAATAATAATATTCACGTCACTGACTTTTTTGGGGTTATCCTTGATATAATATAATAATATCTTTATTTACTACAAGTACATGTACAAGGTATACAGACCATAGCTGACATCAGTGACATACTACTATATAGAAAGCCGCTTGTTATGTTGAGCATTTCTTGCAAATTAGGTCAGTTTTGTCCCAGGATGCGACCCACACCAGTCGACTAACACCCAGGTACCTACTTAACTGATGGGTGAACATAGACAACCGGTGTAAAGAAACACGCCCAATGTTTCTACCTGCACTGGGAATCGAATGCAGACCCTTGCCGTGTGAAGCGAGAGCTGAGCATTTCGGGCAAATTAGGTTCTTGTCCCAAGATGTGACCCACGCCAGTCCACTAACACCCAGGTACCTATTTACTGATGGATGAACAGGAACAGCGGGTGTTTTATGGAAACACATCCTAATGTTTTCCAACTGTACTTGGGATCAAACCACAGAGTTCACTGTGTGAACTGAGTGCACTACCAATCAAGCTACGAGACACCTCAAGCCAAAAGTTTTAGGGTTTAATGTGTGCCCACAAAGCTCCGCATAATCAGTCACCTTGTACTTTTTGGAACTATTCTTTATCTACATTTTTATTTTCACAGGTGGTGAGCAGGTGACATGCTGCTTAACGACCCCTTTATGCTATGCATAAAAATTTTTGACAGCTTCTTGGCAGTTTCTTGCATTACTAAGTAGATCATGTATGAGTTATTTAAAAAAGAGATTTTTTTTTTTTCCCAACAAATTGGCCGTCTCCCACCGAGGCAGGGTGACCCAAAAAAGAAAGAAAATCCCCAAAAACGAAAATAATTTCATCATCATTCAACACTTTCACCTCACTCACACATAATCACTGTTTTTGCAGAGGTGCTCAGAACACAACAGTTTAGAAGCATATACGTATAAAGATACACAACATATCCCTCCAAACTGCTAATATCCCAAAACCCCTCCTGTATATAATACTGTATATAATATCCTATAATTATTGCATAACCTTATTTGTTCAATAACCATGTTTTTTCAATAACCCATGCATATTTACCATATAAAAATATTCTTAGAACAAGAGCAAAATGATATAATTCTGATTTAAGTCACAGAATGCCCATGTCACCCCCCAAATTCTTCAGCAAGTCTATTAATATAATTTGTTACCAGTCAGTACTAAGCTCTATACTGTACTGGTACAGGTATTTGCATACAGAGAGTCGACTTCAACAGGTCATTAAACTCTAAATATATTTTAGCCTCCCAGCATATATAAGGGGGATTACCAATAGACCCCTGGCTGTCTTCAAGAAGGCACTGGACTGGCACCTAAAGTCAGTACCTGACCAACCGGGCTGTGGTTCATACGTTAGTTTGCATGCGGCCAGCAGTAACAGCCTGGTTGATCAGACCCTGATCCACCATGAAGCCTGGTCTCAGACTGAACCGCAGGGGTGTTATCCCCTGAAACCCTCTCCAGGTAAACTCCAGGCTTTCATAAACTGACACTCAACTATGTTTTTCAGGATCATCTGCAATGGAAGTCAGTATATCCCCAGCCATAAGCATCAGCACCCGATCACAAGTTCTGTGTGTTGAGTTTTCCCCCTTTGAATGGTCACGGGGATTACTTGCTGTTGGTCTCCCAAACTCTGTAGCTGTATACTCCTTCAAATTTAAGGTAATGTTATTGTTCATTTCCTGTAGAATTTTTATAGATCTATTTCTTTTAGAGAGATATTCCCACATTAAAAAAAATTACTGTGTATACAGTAACCCTCGGTATAGTGGACTAGTAGGGGATTGTCAGATTAATGTTGAACAATCACAGAAAAAAGCATTAGAGTACTCTGTACTTAATATTGTACTGTCGACATAATTTACAAGTAGACTGCAATAAACATTAAAAATAAATGAATAAAAGTACAATGTACCCAGTGGATTTTGTCTGTTATTTCAGATTTTTGTAATATCAAGGTGCGTTATATATAAATGTATCAGTTTACTGTAATTTCGAAATTTTATTTAGTTGTGTTAGCTAGATTTTTGTCTATAGCATTTCCTTGAGCTATAGAAATGTCATTTGTGAAATTATAAGTTGGCTTTTATTGTAATCCTCAAAGTTGCACCTTCATTTTTTTTTTATTTTTTTATGTAATTAAGGGCAATAACAGACTAGTCATAGGGCTTTACCCTGACTGCCAGTAACCTCTTCTGCTCATATTCCAGGTAAGTCATTTTGAAAATAATCAAGAATTCTGAGGGTTATTCGTACTATACAGCCTCTCCTCACTTAACGATGGAGTTCTGTTCCTACGGCCATATCGGGAAATGAATTTGTTGCTAAACAAGGAGCATACTATAATGGTAGTGGTTTGTGTCAACCATCTTTGATATTGTTTTAATGTCATATTTGTACCATTTATAACATTTTTAGTATATTTTTAAATGTTTATACAGTAGTGTACTGTATATTGTAATGAATAGAATAGAGGAAATCAGGTCTAATATACATTATTCAGGTGTGCATACTGGTCAGAGAGCCCGTTGTAAGTCTGAGTCACCGGTAAACGAGTACGTCGCCAAGTGAGGAGATGCTCTATTATTATTGTTGCAAGATGTGTTTAGGGAATATTGTAAAACATATAGTACTCTACTGTACTGTGATTTAAACTTGGAAACAACTTTATTTTATTATTTTTTTTTTTAACACATTGGCTGATTCCCACCAAGGCAGGGTGGTCCAAAAAAGAAAAACTTTTGTCATCATTCACTCCATCACTGTCTTGCCAGAGGAGTGCTTTACACTACAGTTATAAAACTGCAACATTAACACCCCCTCCTTCACAGTGCAGACACTACTGCCCATCTCCAGGACTCAAGGCCGGCCTGCTGGTTTCCAACAGCACGTCAAGTATTAAAAGCCATTTGTCTCCATTCACTTCTATGAAATACGCTCACACATACTTACTGGAAGCCCAAGCCCCTCGCACACAAAACCTCCTTTACCCCCTCCCTCCAACTTTTCCTAGGCCGACCCCTACCCCGCCTTCCCTCCACTACAAATTTATACACTCGAAGTCATTCTGTTCCGTTCCACTTTCTCTACATGTTGGGCCTGTTGTTGTTCACAATTTACATAAACGACATAGATGAGGGAATAAATAACGACATAAGCAAATTTGCTGATGAAACCAAAATAGGCCGTCCAATTCATTCTAATGAGGACACTAGAGCACTCCAGGATGATTTGAATAGACTGATGCAATGGTTGGAGAAGTGGCAGATGCAGTTTAATATAGACAAATGCAAAGTTCTAAATGTTGGACAGGAAAATAACCATGCGACATATAAGCTAAATAATGTAGATCTTAATACTACTGATTACGAAAAGGATTTAGGAGTTCTGGTTAGCAGTAATCTAAAACCAAGACAACAGTGTATTAGTGTTCGCAATAAAGTTAATTGAATTTTTGGCTTCATATCTAAGTATAAATAATAGAAGTCCTCAGGTTGTTCTTCAATTCTATATATCCTTGGTTAAGCCTCATTTAGACTATGCTGCTCAGTTCTGGTCACCGTATTACAGAATGGATGTAAATGCTCTGGAAAGTGTACAGAGGAGGATGACAAAGATGATCCCATGTATCAGAAATCTTCCCTATGAGGATAGACTGAGGGCCCTGAATCTGCACTCTCTCGAAAGGCGTAGAATTAGGGGGGATATGATCGAGGTGTATAAATGGAAAACAGGAATAAATGAAAGGGATGTAAATAGCGTGCTGAAAATTTCCAGCCAAGACAGGACTCGCAGCAATGGTTTCAAGTTGGAAAAATTCAGATTCAGGAAGGATATAGGAAAGCACTGGTTTGGTAATAGAGTTGTGGATGAGTGGAACAAACTCCTGAATACAGTTATTGAGGCTAAGACATTGTGTAGTTTTAAAAATAGGTTAGATAAATACATGAGTGGGTGTGAGTTGGACCTGAATAGCTTGTGCTGCTGGGTCGGGTGCCGTGCTCCTTCCTTGAGTGGAGGTGACCAGACTGGGTGGGTCATTGGGCTAATCCAGGGGGGGGGGGGGAGGGGATGGACCTGCTCTGCATGGGTCAGTAGGCCTGTTGCAGTGTTCTTTCTTTCTTATGTTCTTATGTGTGAACCACCTCAACAACCCCTCCGCAACCCTCTGGATAATAGTTTTTGTAATCCCGCACCTCCTAATTTCCAAACTACGAATTCTCTGCATTATATTCACACTACATATTGCCCTCAGACATGACATCTCCACTGCCTCCAACTTATAGTTATGAAAAATTTATATTTTTCTATGTAGTTGCAACACCTTGTAATTTTGATTTTGTTTCAGGAAGAAGGAGATGGCAGTAGTGAAGAATATGAGCAAGTATGGGAATGGCATGTATCAAGCCAGCCAATATCCATGTCTTGGAGCCCAAGTTCCACACTGAGGGCAGCACCCTGCTGCCTTCAGATAGCTGTGGCCTCAGCAGACAACACAGTCATGCAAATTTCATCTGATTTAGGAGAAACTAATACGGTACAGGTAAGCATACTTACTCATTGCATAAAAAGAAATTATCTTAGCTAGATGAGTGCATTGAGTATTACTATATTTTTAGGTAAGTCATGTATGTGTACGTACATTATACAGTGGACCCCCGTGAATTTGCGGCTTTGGTGATTCATGGGTTTTTCCTTAGAACCTAAGTAATAATTGTTCGCGGAAATCTCCACAAATTCGCATAACTTTTTTTGGCACTATATAATTTTTTATGCGTTTTAATGCACTCAAAATCTCCTTTACCCTCTTATTCCAGTCTTTCTTGGAATAACCCCTACCCCCTCCTTCTCTCCATCCTTAGAATTTAGTATACTACAAATTCTAATCACACAATAGAACAGAAAGGTAGTGTGAAGAACCTGGGAGTGGTAATGTCAGAGAATCTCACCTTCAAGGATCACAACAGTGTCACTATCACAGATGTGAGGAAAATAATAGGATGGATAATGAGAACCTTCAAAACAAGGGATGCCAAGCAAATAATGATCCTTTTCAAATCATTTTTTCTCTCTAGGCTGGAATGCTACTGTACATTAACCCTTTGAGGGTCTGTGCCGTTGTTGTACGGGTTTGAAGCCAGGGTCCGTGCCGTTGTTCTGCGTGTTGAGCTCAGCTCACTCAGATAAGCTGTGAGCCGTAAATTTGGGCCTAGACTTGAGAGAAGAGGTCTATGTGGTAAGTTTGCGCCGTATTAAAAAAAAACCCACAGCACACAGTGCATAAAAAAAACTTCAACCATATTTTTGGTTTATAACAGCCACTTTGTGGTATATTTTCATATGGTTTTTATGGTTGTATTCAGCTTCTTGGTCTCATTTGATAGAATGCAAGATATATTACAGAAATAGAGACAATTTTGATTGGTCTGAGGCCTGAAATAGCTTGAAATTGAGCTCAAAGTTGGAAAAATGTTAAATTTTTGTCGATGTTTAAGAGTAAACAAATCACATCATGCATCCAATACATGTCAACTGGGGGATCTGATATGCATTCACGAAGGCAGTGATATTATTTATACCATTCTTGCATTATTGCATAACAGTAAATCATCTTCTTTATTGTATGAAAAAAAAAATTCTTTTTGAATAAAAAATCAAATTGGAATTCATGTGTAAAGCCTGAACAGAGGAAATGTTATTTTAGTGCCAGGAATGCCTGCATTATTTATTCTGGACCCTATTTTGAGATAGGAATACAGTATTTTGAAATTTGTGTGCAACTGGCCAAATTACCAGTTTCTGATCACTTAATGAGTAGTTGAAATGGTTGATTGGGTGGTTTCTTGTGCTCAGTCAATAAAATGGAAGGCTTACTAGTGAAATAGCTAATAATCTGGTTGACTGGAATGATGTAATTGGCCTAAAATAGGACTCGATGCATAAACATTGCTGGCATGGCAAAAAAGCGTAATTTTGTCAGTTTCCCATCAAATTTTGCTCCTTTTTGTTTTATTACCTTCAGAAAAGGATTCTCTTCCATCTCATAAGAAAAAATAATTTGTTTTTTTTTTAAATTCTTGGAACCAGTGGACAAGTTTCGGATGGAGGGTCTGGACCCTCAAAAGGTTAAAACTATTTAAACTTCAAAAACGTGTTTTTTTTTTTGTATTGGTGAAATAACTGATTTAGCAAGGAGTTCAATAATGAATATATTTATTTTTAGATTTTTTTCCCCTCCCCCAGTCACTGGACAATAGCTCAGCATTTTGATAATATCGGCTGGATTGGAAAAATGCTTAAAATCACTCCAGTTGAACTATTTTTATGCTACTTAAGGTAATGCACTTTTAAATATAAAAAGATGTGGTTTTAGCATGATAAAAGGCTGTTTTTTCCCACTGATTTTTTCAATATCTGAAGCCCCTTGTACATCTCACTTATGTTATCAAAATGTTTATAACCCTCTATAATTTTTTCACGTTTGTGGGGAAATTGATCCAACAGGCACGGTTTTTATAAACATACATTTTAAGAGAAAGATTTTTGCCTAAAACATTCACTGGACTATATAGAGTTTAATGTTTTTAGCCATTTGCGGACAGATTTTCAAAATTGCTTAAAATCACACCAGGGGTAGTAATTTTATGCTTATTAACCCTTAAACTGTTCAAATGTAGATCTACGTTCACGTGCGTTAGCGCTCCAAATGTAAATCTACGTTTTTTACATTTGAAAGCATGTAAAATAAAACGTAGATCTACGTTTGGAGTGCTACACACGTGAACTTAGATCTATGTTTGGACAGTTTAGGGGTTAAATACCTAAAAAGCTAAAATCATATAATTTTAGCCTAAAACAATCACTGGACTATGTATAGTTTAGCATTTTTAGCCATTTTCGGACAGATTTTCAAAATTGCTTAAAATCACGCCAGGGGTGCTAATTTTTATCCTTATTAAACACCTATAAAGCTAAAATTAGATCATCATAGCAGGACACAAGGCTTTGTTTTCTTGCTTCCAGAATTATACCTTATTTAATATATTGCACTGGAAAGTGATGACCAGAGTAGTATGATTAGCATCAGTTGCACTCATGGTATTTCTAAAGCAGATGAGGAAATGAAAGAGGGGTACTGGCACTTTTTTTTTTTTTTAGTTTAGCTTAGTTTGTTTATCTCTTTGCTATATTCACTGAAGCACCACTTTATCATGCTCTGCATTATCTTCTCTGCATTCAAATTATTTGTTTTGTAAGTATTGTTTTACATCCATTGTCTTATTTTTATGTTATACTCTTTTTTTTTTTTCCACTTTTTACCATTTTTTCAATTTTTTATCATTTTCATTACAGTGGACTCTCGACCAACGATGGCATCGATTAACGATACATTTTAGCGATACATTTTAACGCAAAAATTTTGCCTCGACTAGCGCTAAAAACTCGACCAACACTATTCGTTCCGTCTGAGATGCGTCCGCTTCTGGCCAGTGTTTACAAGCCAGCCAGCCACCGCGGTCGCTTCCAAGCATACATTCGGAACATTTCATATTATCACAGCCTTTTTAGTGATTGCACCTGCAAAATAAGTCACCATGGGCCCCAAGAAAGCTTCTAGTGCCAACCCTACAGCAAAAAGGGTGAGAATTACTATGGATATGAAGAAAGAGATCATTGCTAAGTATGAAAGTGGAGTGCGTGTCTCCGAGCTGGCCAGGTTTTCCACAAAACCCCAATCAACCATCGCTACTATTGTGGCCAAGAAAACGGCAATCAAGGAAGCTGTTCTTGCCAAAGGTGCAACTATGTTTTCGAAACTGAGATCGCAAGTGATAGAAGATGTTGAGAGACTTTTTATTTGGGGTGGATAAACGAAAAACAGATAGCAGGAGATAGCATCTCTCAAGGGGATCATATGTGAAAAGGCTAGGAAGTTTGCATGAGGATTTAATTGAAAAATGCCAGCAACTAGTGATGATGTGAGTGAATTTAAGGCCAGCAAAGGTTGGTTTGAGAGATTTAAGAATCGTAGTGGCATACATAGTGTGATAAGGCATGGTGAGGCTGCCAGTTTGGACCAAAAAGCAGCTGAAAAATATGTGCAGGAATTCAAGGAGTACATAGACAGTGAAGAATTGAAACCTGAACAAGTGTTTAATTGTGACATTGACAATATTGTGAAACACTTTAGGAATGTCATAAAGGAACGGGAGGTACAGGCCTCTATGGACAGATATGTTGTGCGACAGAGGTCCAGTGATTCTCAAGCTGGTCCTAGTGGCATTAAAAGAAAAAGGGAAGTAACCCCGAAAAAGGACTTGCCACCTCAAGTCCTAATGGAAGGGGATTCGCCTTCTAAACACTAACACCATCAACACTCTCCCCTCCTCCCATCCCATCAATCATCACCAGATCTTCAATAAAGGTAAGTGTCATGTAACTGTGCATGTCTTCTTCAGTTTGTGTGTATTAAAATTAATATTTCATATGGTAAAAAATTTTTTTTTCAATACTGTTGGGTGTCTTGCACGGATTAATTTGATTTCCATTATTTCTTATGGGGAAAATTAACTCGACTAACGATAATTTCGATTAACGATGAGCTCTCAGGAACGGATTAATATCGCTGGTCGAGGGTCCACTGTATTTTCTTCACACTAATTTCTCAGTTGGATCAAGTGGAATTTATTAGTAATTGTTCTTTACATAATCTTCTACCTTTGAAAGACAATAACATGTGTTGGGAGGTCAGCACGAGGCCTCACCTGCAGGACAAGGAGAACTCAGTGACCAAATATACAAATACATGAAGCAGCAGAGGCAATTATTTTGATGTAACTTTTGCATTGATAAGCCTGTGCTAAGTATTTTAAATCTTTAATGCAGTTTATTTTAATTAGATTATTTTGATGTAACTTTTGTATTGATAAGCCTGTACTAATTATTTTAAATCTTTAACCCTTAAATGGTCCGAACATATACAGTAGACCCCCGCATAACGATCACCTCCGAATGCGACCAATTATGTAAGTGTATTTATGTAAGTGCGTTTGTACGTGTATGTTTGTGGGTCTGAAATGGACTAATCTACTTCACAATATTCCTTATGGGAACAAATTTGGTCAGTACTGGCACCTGAACATACTTCTGGAGTGAAAAAATATCGTTAACCGGGGGTCCGCTGTATATACGTTTTTTCAACATTTGAAAGTATGTAAAAAAATGTACATCATCTTTTTTTTTTTTTACATTTGAAAATGTGTAAAAAAACATAGATCTACTTTTGGAGCGCTACGGATTTGAATGTCAATCTATTTGGACCGTTTAAGGGTTAATGTGGTTCATTTTAATTAGATTGTCACATTTATGTTTACATTGTGGTTATAATCATTTTTTGTTGCAGGATATACTTAGTCATAGTGACTTTGTAAACAGTGTGACTTACAATGGAGACAGTGGTACATTTGTAGCATCCACGGGAGATGATCTTACTGCTCGTGTGTGGGAGAGTTCTTCGCAGATGCAGATTGCTAAGTTCCTATTAACTTCTCCAGGTATTGCATCTTGTGCTCAATTTACAAGTCCTGTAGCTGTCTTAATACAGTATATCTTTCTTTCTTTTCTTTCAACAAACTGGCCGTATCCCACTGAGGCAGGGTGACCCAAAAAGAAGAATAAAAGTTTCTCTTTTAAACTATAGTAAAGTACAGTATATGCTTATACTTAAAGAATGATGATAGCTTAAAAAAAAAAAAAACTATGGTTCGAGATGATATTGTCATGTACAGCAGTGTCATTGGTAAACCTTAGTTATTTTTTTTAGTATACCAGCCATTTTCCACTGAGGTGAGAGATCCTGAGAAAAATGAAATGCATGCACCATCATTCATACAATACAGTCTTGCCAGAAATGTGTAGACATCAGAATATCAATGACTCTTGGTGTGGCGGAAGGGGTGATGTGTGTTGGGGTGGAGAAGGGATGATGTGTGTTGGGGTGGAGAACATAAGAATATAAAGAAGGAACATTGCAGCAGGCCTACTGGCCCATGCGAGGCAGGTCCAATTCTCCCACCGGCTTAAGCCAGTGCCTTGACCTCGTCAGGTCAGGTCACATTCACTTCAGGAAGGAGCATGGCATCTGACCTAGTAGCACAAGCTAGTCAGGTCCAACTCACACCCACCCACACCCACTCATGTATTTATCCAACCTGTTTTTAAAACTACACAACGTCTTAGCTTCTATGACGGTATTCGGGAGTTTGTTCCACTCATCCACAACTCTATTACCAAACCAGTGTTTTCCTATATCCTTCTTGAATCTGAATTTTTCCAGTTTAAAACCATTGCTGCAAGTCCTGTCTATGCTATACATCCCCTTTATTAACTCTTTGACTGTTTTGGTCCTATATATACGTCTTATGAGCCACCGTTTTTGACGTATATATAGTACACTGTACTCATAAATTCTAGCGGGAATGTGTGTAAAGGTAGAAAGTTGAAAGTGAACATAGAAAAGAGTAAGGTGATGAGGGTATCAAATGATTTAGATAAAGAAAAATTGGATATCAAATTGGGGAGGAGGAGTATGGAAGAAGTGAATGTTTTCAGATACTTGGGAGTTGACGTGTCGGCGGATGGATTTATGAAGGATGAGGTTAATCATAGAATTGATGAGGGAAAAAAAGGTGAATGGTGCGTTGAGGTATATGTGGAGTCAAAAAACGTTATCTATGGAGGCAAAGAAGGGAATGTATGAAAGTATAGTAGTACCAACACTCTTATATGGGTGTGAAGCTTGGGTGGTAAATGCAGCAGCGAGGAGACGGTTGGAGGCAGTGGAGATGTCCTGTTTAAGGGCAATGTGTGGTGTAAATATTATGCAGAAAATTTGGAGTGTGGAAATTAGGAAAAGGTGTGGAGTTAATAAAAGTATTAGTCAGAGGGCAGAAGAGGGGTTGTTGAGGTGGTTTGGTCATTTAGAGAGAATGGATCAAAGTAGAATGACATGGAAAGCGTATAAATCTATAGGGGAAGGAAGGCTCGGTAGGGGCCGTCCTCGAAAGGGTTGGAGAGAGGGGGTAAAGGAGGTTTTGTGGGCAAGAGGCTTGGACTTCCAGCAAGCATGCGTGAGCGTGTTAGATAGGAGTGAATGGAGACGAATGGTACTTGGGACCTGACGATCTGTTGGAGTGTGAGCAGGGTAATATTTAGTGAAGGGATTCAGGGAAACCGGTTATTTTCATATAGTCGGACTTGAGTCCTGGAAATGGGAAGTACAATGCCTGCACTTTAAAGGAGGGGTTTGGGATATTGGCAGTTTGGAGGGATATGTTGATAAATTAGACACATGTGCAACTCTTGGGTATCTTTATTGAGGAATAAGAAGTAGGTCATGCCCAAGAATTAGGCAAGCGAAGAATTCCCAAACTTGGAGGGATATGTTGTGTATCTTTATATGTGTATGCTTCTAAACTGTTGTATTCTGAGCACCTCTGCAAAAACAGTGATAATGTGTGAGTGTGGTGAAAGTGTTGAGTGATGATGAAAGTATTTTCTTTTTGGGGATTTTCTTTCTTTTTTGGGTCACCCTGCCTCGGTGGGAGACGGCCGACTTGTTGAAAAAAAAAAAAAAATTCTAGCGGCTTCAAATCAAGCAGGAGAAAGCTGGTAGGCCCACTTGTGAGAGAATGGGTCTGTGTGGTCAGTGTGCACCACATTAAAAAAATTCTGCAGCACGCAGTGCATAATGAGAAAAAAAACTCCGACTGTTTTTTTTTTAATTAAAATGCCGATTTTGTGGTCTATTTTTGTATAGTATTTATGGTTGTATTCTCGGTCTCATTTGATAGAATGGAAAACATATAGAAATAGAGGTGATTTTGATTGGATTTTTAAATGGAGCTCAAAGTAGGGAAAATGTTTGATTTTTGCCGATGTTCAAAAGTAAACAGATGATGTCATTTTCCAATAAATATCCAAGTAGCAATTCTAATATGCAGTCATGAATGGGTTGACATTATTTATACAATTATTACAATATTGCATTAGTCTGCATAACAGTAAATCTTTTATTTTTTGTTTGAGTAAAATTCAGAATAGAAAGCAAGAGTAATATCGAGAGGGCCTGGAGACATGACTGATGAACACAGAACATGTTATTTTAGAGCCAGGAATGTCTGCATTGTTCATTCTGGACCCTATTTTGAAATTGTATATTTTTTTTAATTTCGTGAAATTGGCCAAATTGCAATTTCTGACCATTTTTATTGGGTAGTTTGAAATCGGTAAATGGGCAGTTTCTTGTACTCACTCGATAGAAAAAATGGAGTTCTAAAGAAATAGCTATGAGTTTGGTCAACTGGAGCAATGGAATTAACAGAAAATAGGGCTCAAAGTGGGCAAAATCACCGATTCGTAAATATCGCCGAGATCGCTAACTTCACGAGAGCATAATTCCATCATTTTTCCATCAAATTTCATTCTTTGTGGTGTCATTACAGTCAGGAAATGATTCTCTATCAGTTCATAAGAAAAAATAATTTTTTTTTTTTGGGGGGGAAATTTTGTGACACCAGGAGACACCTCAGGATTTGGGGTTGCGACAGTCAAGGGATTAATTCCTGTTTTCCATTTATATACCTCAATCATATTCCCCCTAATTCTACACCTTTCTAGAGAGTGCAGATTCAGGGCCCTCAGTCTATCCTCATAGGGAAGGTTTCTGATACTTGGGATCAACTTTGTCATCCTCCTTTGTACGTTTTCCAGTGCATTTATATCCATTCTGTAATACGGTGACCAAAACTGCGCAGTATAATCTAAATGAGGCATTTAACGTAAATTAATTATATTTCTGTACGTGACTATTCAGCACATAATTAACGTGCACTTATTTTTTAGGGGTGAAAATTCAAGAAATATGAGCTTTTTTTTCTTGTTTAATTGTTTAGGAATAATGAGTGAAATTTTTACTATGCTCTTGTTCTCAGTTATTTTTTGATTAACTCATTTGATATATTATATGATATATTTTTTTTTTTTGTCTATCAGGCTCATTTTCAAAAAAAAATTCTTAAGAAATGTGGAAATTTTGTTTTAGTCTCTTGACAGTATAAGTGGTGCTGCCCAATAAACATACCCCTTGGGGTAAAATTTGAAAAAATCTTTTGTGGATGTTGGCATTAGCAAACTCTTTTCTTCTACTCCAATTACCGGATACCCCACACAAACATCCCAAATTTCAAAAGAGAAAAATTAAAGGCACTAATAACAAACAGACAAAGAATAAACACCCCCTTCTCTTAGCTGGAGACTTCAACATCAACCTTGGCCTACTAGATGATCAGCCTGTAACTGATTTCATCAACAATATGAACAAACACACTTCTCATACCAACAATAACTAAACCAACCAGGCTCACTGAAACAAGTGCAACCATTAATAGACCACATATGGACCAATATACTAGCCCCCCCTTTAAAACAGGGATAATCACAGATAGCACTACAGACCACTACCCTAAACCCTTTCCTCTTGACAAACATTAGTAAACCACCACTTGAATACAACAAAGTTTTATTTAGACTCCATGATAAGGCCTCAATAAGGAAGTTCACAGTTGACCTAGAGACTGTTGACTGGCCTACAAAAATTCTCCAAGGCCAATGGTATTGATGACTGGACAGACATTTTTCTTAACAAATTACTTTAGACTATACAACAAACATTGCCCTAAAAAAACAAAAACAACCAAACAAACGGCTTGGTTGCCTGGCAAACCAGCACCATTCTGAAAATTGATAAGAAACCCCAAATATGAAAAGAAATATAGACGGGGTTAATACACAAAGATATTTTTTAAACCTATTCATCAGTCCTCCCAAAGAATAAAGAGAGCCAAAAAAATATATACCCCGTAGATTCACTGACACAAGGGAGATATAAAAAAGCCCTGGAAAACACTCTCTAGATTTTAGGACCCAAAATGAAAAAAAAAAAAAAATTGTCCTAACTAAACCTAATAAAACACCACTACTCCCCTGACACAGTTAACAAGTAAACGACTTCTTCTAAACCCATAGGTTCTAATTCCCCAAAAAATCCCCGTACCAATCCCCCATGCGGGGACTACTAGATGAGTTTTCCCCAAATTCCTTCTTCTTCTCCAACTGCCCCCCGGGAAGTCACCGAGTTTTAAAAGTCACTTAAAAAAAACTCGGGGAATCTTTTAATGTCCACCACTTTATTAAAAAAGGAGCGGCCCCTGCCCTTCGATAATCTCTTTATTTTTAACAAGTCACTAAAACTGCCCCTTCCCGAAAACTACTAAAGATGGCAAGGGTTACACCAGTACATAAAGGTGGTGCCTACAATTTAAACAACTAAGGCCAAATCAAATTTCCCCCCATTCTTCCAAAATCTTTGAGAAATGTCACGGGAGACTATATTCATTTATAAGGACAAAACTATCAACCCACCCAATTGGATTCGGGGAAAAAATAAAAAAAAGCCTAATGGCAACCATAAAAATGCTAGATTGTTTTTAACAGCATTGGAAAATAAGGAATATCCACAGGAATTTTATTGACCTAAGAAAAGTTTTGACACAGTAGCCCCAGGGCCCCATCCTATCCAAAAACTTGCCGTTTGTAAAAAGGGGCCCATGCGCTTGTATTTCAAATCTTACCTTACTAATGGGTATCAGTATGCACCATTAAAAAACCAGCACAAAAACACAGCCACTTGATACGGAGTTCCTCAGGGAATGCCCTTTGGTCCCCTGCTCTTCCTCATAACATCAAGATTTTCCAAAGATCTAAAATAAAAACCCTTTCTCTTTGCTGACGACACGATTTTGTCTCTCTCACCCTAATCTTCCCACCCCCCACCATTTTTAAATGATGCTGTAAAATACGACTTGTTTGACGCAATAAATTTACGTTAACGCTGACAAAACCTACTACTTTATGTTTGGTGCAGAGAGGAGATGCGAAAAATTAACATTAAGATCAAAACCTCAAATTGCCAGGCTTTTAATGGGGAAAATTCTAGGCCAAAATCCCCCGAAAAAACCTAAAAATTCGCCCCCCAATCCAAAAATTAACCAAAAAAGACCAAAACGGGGGGGATCCTCTCCAAGATATGATACTACGTGCCACAAACTGCCCTTCTCACACTTACCATTCATTATATATCCAAAATACCCATGTATCTGTGCTTGGGGTTCAACTGCAGCAAAACCCCCTAAAGCCCTAATAACCCAACAAAAAGCCGCATAAGAAAATCACTAAATCCCATCCGGGGAACACACCCCCCCCCTCTTCATAGACTAAACTTACTCCCTGTTTAGTAATCCACACTTACTACTGTGCAATCTACATTAAGGACCTTAAATTCCCAAAATTAATTTACCTAAAAAGCTTTCTTGATAACTGTGACAGAACCCCCAGGGACAAAAACCGACCAAACTTCTTGCATTCCCCCTGTCTGATAAACCCTTTTCAAAAATTTAAAGTAGCAAAGGCCCTAAAATCTGGAACACCTACTGAAAATTCTAAAACTGCAGAACATTCATCACCCAAAACTACCTTTAGAAAACATCTTATCTCCTGATACACCCCGTCAAAAATAATTACACGAATACCATAAACAGAAATATCAATCTCATCTCAAAATAATGAATTTAACTAGTCAAAGTTGGCCTGGAACTCCAATACTTAAACTATTTTAGTGCCAAAACAAAAGCATTCACATTTCTAAACTCAAAGTAGTATTTTGCACTTAGCCTAAAACCAACTTACCCCATTTTTTTTAATATTTTAAACTTAAGATTTAATTAAGTTGCCCGAAAGCCTAGCCTTTTAGGGTTCAGTGGGACCTCTGTAATTATTATTTTACACATGTAAACCCACAATAACAAATTTTTGTAAACTCAGCTTGTAATCCTTATAGAGAAAAAAACTTTTAGTACAGTATTTTCATGGAAATTTTGTTTGAGAGGACTCCAGGAATAACCTTCTGATTATGATAGTTTCACTATGTTGATGATGAACATGTGAGCAAAAGTAGATGTGTTTTATTTAAAAAAATGAGAACATTAATAGGGCCCAATGTCCCCTGCTAAGCGGGGGCCCACTCAACCCCATCACATCCCCTCGATAACTGTTCCAATCTATATTTGAAGTTACCCCAAATTATACTTCATTGTATCCCCGGAAATTAGTTCTATTTATCACAAATCGTTGTTAAATCATTCTTCCCTTTTTCTTCTAAATCTAAATTTGTTTAATCTGAATCATTGTTGTGACCTGTCTATGTTAGATCTTCAGAAATTACTTGTATTCCTTTTATAAATTTTCCGAAGGGGGAGGTGGAATGTTTGCAGTTTTTTGGGGGGGTCTGAACTGTAGTATCGGCATGTTCTGGCAAGCCCCTGAGGTTTGAGTGAAAGATGGTGAAAGTTTTCTTTTTCGGTCTCCCCGCTTAGTGGGGAAAGGCTGGTGGTTAAAAAAAAAAAAATCGGGGGGGGGGGGGGGGGGGTTACATTTGTACATTAAGGTTTTTTGTTTTCTTTTAGCACGCTGGCTGTCTCCCACCAAGGGAGGTTGACCGAAAAAAAAACTCTTTGCCCATTGCACTATCATTTTGCCAAGGGCCGCGAAACGAGTTTTTGATGTCACTCTACCCTTTTATTAGCCTTAGATCTCTCATAACATTAAAGCAGCTCTTATCATTAGGGTGGGAGTTGGGGTTTCGGGTGTGTGTGTGTGTGTTGTTTTTTTTTCTGTGTTTTCAGGGAGGGAAAGGGGAAAAGTAGGGATGACATTTATTCCTCAGGTATGGTTTTGTTTTCCCCCTGAAGATCCCGAGTACTGCTGGGGCAGAGAAGAAAGGGTTCTGAAGTATATTCTGAAAGCAGTGGATGTTCCACGCTCTTCTTGCGATGCCGTGGTCCCCTCTTGAGTGCTGATTGGTCCATCCCAGACCCTGCCCTTATAGTTGCTGCTGGGGTGAAGGGCCTTACAGTGTGGAATGTTGCTTCTCTGCAGTAAGTAATTTCAGTCATGATAAATAATATTTTTTTTTTATTTATTATCACACTGGCCGATTCCCACCAAGGCAGGGTGGCCCGAAAAAGAAAAACTTTCACCATCATTCACTCCATCACTGTCTTGCCAGAAGGGTGCTTTACACTACAGTTTTTAAACTGCAACATTAACACCCCTCCTTCAGAGTGCAGGCACTGTACTTCCCATCTCCAGGACTCAAGTCCGGCCTGCCGGTTTCCCTGAACCCCTTCATAAATGTTACTTTGCACACACTCCAACAGCACGTCAAGTATTAAAAACCATTTGTCTCCATTCACTCCTATCAAACATGCTCACGCATGCCTGCTGGAAGTCCAAGCCCCTCGCACACAAAACCTCCTTTACCCCCTCCCTCCAACCTTTCCTAGGCCGACCCCTACCCCGCCTTCCTTCCACTACAGACTGATACACTCTTGAAGTCATTCTGTTTCGCTCCTTCTCTCTACATGTCCGAACCACCTCAACAACCCTTCCTCAGCCCTCTGGACAACAGTTTTGGTAATCCCGCACCTCCTCCTAACCTCCAAACTACGAATTCTCTGCATTATATTCACACCACACATTGCCCTCAGACATGACATCTCCACTGCCTCCAGCCTTCTCCTCGCTGCAACATTCATCACCCATATAAGAGCGTTGGTAAAAATAATAGTGTGTATATTTTTCATATAATGTCCAATGTTCCCAGATACCTTTATAAAACTAGTTTTAAAATACAGTGGACCCCCGGTTAACGATATTTTTTCACTCCAGAAGTATGTTCAGGTGCCAGTACTGACCGAATTTGTTCCCATAAGAAATATTGTGAAGTAGATTAGTCCATTTCAGACCCCCAAACATACACATACAAACGCACTTACATAAATACACTTACATAATTGGTCGCATTCGGAGGTAATCGTTATGCGGGGGTCCACTGTACTGAGAAAGATTAAATGGAAAATAATGCAGAAAAAGTTGTAATGTCTGGATTTGTGGGGACCTCTTAACCCTTTCAGGGTTGGTGCCATACTAGTATGGCTTGCACGCCAGGGTTGGTGCCGTACTAGTATGGCTTGCATATCACGGTTGGTGCCGTACTAGTATGTATAAATTCTAGCGCCTTCAAATCTAGCGAGAGAATGCTGGTAGGCCTACTTATGAAAGAATGGGTCTGTGGTCAGTGTGCGCAGTATAAAAAAAATCCTGCAGCACACAGTGAATAATGAGAAAAAAAACTTTGACTGTGTTTTTGGTTTAAAACAGCGACTTTGCACTGTATTTTTGTATGGTATTTATGGTTATATTCTCGTTTTCTTAGCCTCACTAGATAGAATGGAAGATAGATCACAGGAATAAAGATGATTTTGATTGGTTTCACAATGAAAAGTACCTTGAAATTGAGCTCAAAGTAGTAGACATGTTCGATTTTTGCTGAAGTTCAAAAGTAAACTAATCATGCCACACGTCCAATACATGTCAACTGGTGAGTCTAATATTCTTTCACAAGTGCGCTGATATTATTTATACCATTTCTACACTAATGCAGTAGTCTGCATAACAGTAAATCTTCTATTTATTGTGAGAATAAAAATTCAAAGTGGAAAGCAAACGAAATGTAAGAGAGGCCTGGGGACGTGACTAATGAACAGAGGAAATGTTAGTTTAGTGCCAGGAATGTCTGTCTTGTTTATTTTGGACCCTATTTGGAAATTGGCATCGTTTGAATTTTGTGTGAAATTGGCAAAATTGTCAATTTCTGACCACTTTATTGGATAGTTGAAATCGGTAAATGGGTGGTTTCTTATACTCATTCGATAGAAAAAAATGGAGTTCTAGCAAAATAGTTATGATTTTTTCGACTGGAACATTGGAATTGGCTGAAAATAGGGCTCAAAGTGGGCGAAATCGCTGATGCGTAAACATCGCCGAGACCGCTAACTTCGCAAGAGCATAATTCCATAAGTTTTCTATAAAATTTCATACTTTTGGTGTCATTATCATCGGGAAAAGATTCTCTATTATTTCATAAGATTTTTTTTTTTGTTTTGTTTTTTTTCGAAAAATTTCCGACCCTGAGAACAAATTTCAGAGAGGGCCTGCCGACCCTGAAAGGGTTAAGAATTTAAGCTTTTGCAAATTTAGATGGCTCATAATACTAAAAATTGAAACCTATTTAGTTTTAATTTCTCCTCTTGTTCTCTTTCACTAATAATTTGCATAAGATAGACTGTGTGATGGGATGAAAGGTATGACTTGGAGTGGGTTAAAAGGGTTTGGTCATATAGAAAGGATAGATCAAGTTATGTTGTCCTAAAGGGTATATAAATCTATGGTGGGTAATAGAGTTAGGAGACATTCCAGGAATTGTTGAAAAAGACACTTGTATGCAGTTCAGGACATTTATTAGAGGAAACAGTTCACCACGAGCAGCTTCTGTTTTAATTATTAGGACTGATGAAGTCACTCTTGGCAAAACGTTTCCTCTAATAGAAATCATGAACTGTTCGCAAGTGTCTTTCTCCACATCTTGTCGGTTTCACCGTACCATTTTTCAGTTTTCGTCCCAGGAATTGTTTAGGGAATGGGTTGTTTAAGGAATTGTTTAAGGAATGCTTTGTCACCTGTCTCCATCACTTTATAGGCTCCCTTCTTAAATGTGTATTAGAACTCTGTATACATGGTTTTTCATTATAAATATCCCTTATAATATATACCTATTGCCTTTGATATCTCAGAGATATTGTTTTAGATCACACTCCTGTAATGTAGTCCAGTGCTTCTCAAACTGTCTGATGTGGAGGACCACTGTTTTCCAGTGTGCTAGGGACCGGGTTTTGGGTTGCCAACTTGGGGATAATAGAGAGAGATGAATGGGAAAAATTTATATGTTTATTGAAAATATTACAATGTTATATTCAGTCAAAAAAAGTGATAAAGAATGCTACTAATGTTAATTCAATCTGAATCATGTTAAAGCACCTTACCTCTATTAATGCCAAAGATGATCCTGCTTTATATTTACCAGCTTATCAAGCTGTGGTGCACTTAAGGATAGTGACACAGACAGTGGAGATCGAATATCTTTACTGTTGCTGTACTTTGTCCAACACTTATGGTGAAGACAGTAGTCTCACAATGGTATGTCGAGAGAAATGGGATGAGTTTTCAGAGCAGTTTCAACAAGTTCTGGAAATTCTGCTTCCACTTTGATCCAGAAAGAAGCAAGTGATGTTACAGTTTCAAAACTCATCTTAAATTCTTCGTCGTCAGTCAGCTCCAACAATTTATCCTCCTCAGTAACAGTTAAATTATCCTTCACTGAAATATACAGATTTCAGAGTCAGCCATCTAAATCTGTCAAGGGTTTACTAATATGTCTCATACAGATTTGACATCAAGCTCTTCGCAACCCTGGCAGTGGTTACTGCCAGGTTGTGAAACATCTCAGAACAGTATTCTAATGGTTGCCTCCTCCATGCTTCTAGCTTCCATTTCTCTCCATCAATTTGATATGCCATTGTAAAGAACAAAGCCATTGTTTCCTGTACAGGTGTGTTGAGCTCATATAAGATGGTAGTGATATCATCCATATAAGCCAGCTTGTATCCAATCCACATTTTAAAATAGCTCTTACCAATTTGGATTTTTGTCATTGAGAAACTTGGCAAGCTCATTCTGGAGCCCAAATACTCTCGACAGGACCTTGCCCCTCAGCAACCATTGCACTTTGACAAGCAATAGGAACTGCTTGTGGTCAGCCTCTACACCATCACACAGAGTATCAAATATAAACTACATGTCTTCATGTAGTTCACAATTTTTATGATTGTTGAGCACACTGTTCAGTTCTGTTGATATTTTCTTTGTGGCAAGACTTTCTCAGTGAATGAAAGAGTGCTTTGATTTCCATTCAGGTGCTAGTGTCTTTATCTAGGTAATCACTCTGGAATGCCATTCTCTTATTGCTGCAATACCATCAAAATGTACCTATACAAAACTTGAAAGCCAGCCCACATTTGCTACATATGTAGTAGCTAGCATCATTGAACACATACAAATCAGATGTATTTGTTGGTTGTGAAGCAGAAAAAATGTCTTCAAATTACTTGCAAATTCAAAATGTGCATACACAATCAGATCTGTTATATTAGCAATGTTTGTACATTCATCAGGCTGCAAAGAAAAGCAATCTGTTCTAAGACTTGATCTTTCATATGAGCTTCATTCTTAATTTACTGAACTAGTCATTTGAGAGTAGCACTTGGGCTGCTTTCTTTAATGCAGATTCATCTAACATTTCCCAGCAGACGTCCTTAATACATCCCATATCACCAGCTATGAGGAAGAGATCATTACAGTTAAATAAAATAAGCCAGTGACACCTGAGGACTCCACTGTGGCAATCAACTGATGAAACCATCAACTTTACAAGATCCCAACCTTCAACATTACATAACCAACCCAAACTATCAACCTCAGCCCAGTAGGGCCACAGCAATCCTCTCCACTCACTTCAGGATGTTTAGCATCATTAACTCAACAATATTAATGTAACTATTCTTTAGTTACATGAGATTTTCCTTTTCGCTATCCGAACCTTACTTTGAGCTCGAGTATTACACAGAGGATCCTTATTGGCAAAATTAGGTAAAAACAAAAAATTTTTTTAGAAGAATTATGTTATTTTTCTTGAAGGTCTGAGGAACTGCACCATGTGTTTCTCACTTCATAAGTCAGAGCCTGTGCAAACTGTTGAATTTCCACTATAGTGCTCGGTAACCTGGTGTCTTCTCAAACCTGTCCAATTGCACCTTCGTTCCACACCATCTGTGAATTAAACATTATAAATTAATAATATATACTAATAATAAATATAAATTTTATTAGTCCAGGTGTTTAATTTAATTTATAAAAAGTAAGTGAAAAATATAATGCTCGAAACTTTTGAGAAAAATCCTCGTTTATTGCTTATGTATTCACCATAAGTATTTTGTAGCACTGAGTTAGTCTATGCAACAGCAGATGCTCACTTTTACCAAGTAGATTTAAATAATTTTTACCAAGGATTTCTTATTTTTCAGTAAAAACTAGGTTTGGTGAATAAATGGAAGGGTAGAGAAGGGGCTCAAACTGTAGTCCATAAATTGACAGTCCGATGCTCTGCCACGGTTTGAGCCGCTAGTCCACCCTTCTGTTTATTCATTGGCAGTTGCTTATTACAACTGAATTTGAGTTCACTAGGTCTGGTATTAACCATGTGTTGCCCTGGCTCTTTTGGTGTGGTGATGTAGGATTTCCATTAGATAGAAAATCAATTAACTATTTGTTCATTGTATGTATGAGTGAAAGGAATTCTTCCTCCATAAGCCATGCGTGTCATAAGAGGCAACTAAAATGCTGGGAACAAGGGGCTAGTAACTCCTCCTATATAAATTTAAAAATAAAAACTTTTGTTTTTCTTTTTGGGTCACCCTGCCTCAGTGGGATATGGCAGGTGTGTTGAAAAAAAAAAAATGCTTGAGTGAATGTGGATGTCTGGGTAAACCTCAATGCACTATGTATATTGATCTCTTGTTCATCTACATATTGTAGTTTAATTTTATTATTTACTGCTGTGGATATTTTTCAGACCACACAGTGATGCAGTGGAAGTTGGGAGCGGAGAGAGAGTATTGAGTGTACAAGTATGTCGGTCGACACCTGGCTTGGTGGCCACTCATGCCACCCCACATACTGTTCGTGTCACTCACCTTCACTCAAATAAAGTTCCTATTGCTGCTCACTTGAAGGTATTGTTGACACATGTTGGATTGCTGCTTTAGTTTGATTTATTCTTGTTTATTTAAATGTACAGTGTAAATCTTCCATATACATGTAACAGACTTTTACAGTAATGGGCAAAATCCACTAGGTGACTTGTACCTGTAACACATTTATTTTCAATGTTTATTGCAGGGAAACCGGTTATTTTCATATAGTCGGACTTGAGTCCTGGAAATGGGAAGTACAATGCCTGCACTTTAAAGGAGGGGTTTGGGATATTGGCAGTTTGGAGGGATATGTTGTGTATCTTTATGTGTGTATGCTTCTAGACTGTTGTTTTCTGAGCACCTCTGCAAAAACAGTGATAATGTGCGAGTGTGATGAAAGTGTTGAATGATGATGAAAGTATTTTCTTTTTGGGGATTTTCTTTCTTTTTTTTTGGGTCACCCTGCCTCGGTGGGAGACGGCCGACTTGTTGAAAAAAAAAAAAAAAAAAAAAAAAAACTGTAATTTGTGTGTAGAGTACTGAAGTTCTTATTTTTATATTTTTTAACATTTTCATTTTATGGGCACTCGGTCAATGCTTCCATACGATTCCGATATATTGAGGTTTTACTGTACTGTATAAATAATTTTTTTCTATGCTGAATCCTCTTTACTCTGCAGCAAGGTAACTCATTCAGAACCCATATTCCAGATAAATCATATGCCCAGGAAGGTAAAGTACTGTATTTAAAAATAAAATGGTGCACTATCCCTAGAAGGGAGAGTTCACCAATAAAGCTTCATTGAGGCTAGAGGAAGAGTTCTTTCTTTTGAGATGAAACTAGGGATTATTTCTCTCCCAGAGTCATAGATTTTCCTCACATCCACTCCATAGATTATAACTCATAAACAGCTTCTGTCAGTCTTTTGAGAATAGCCCATCATTATCTTTAGCAGCTAGCAGTTATGGAAAGTCTCCTTTCATCATAATGGCTGTCTTCCACTGATGTAAGGCGAGCTAAAAAAGAAGAAACACTTTCACTGTCATTCAATTACTGTCTTGCCAGAACTGCGCTGATGCCACAGTTCAGATGGCCTTCTGAATTGCAACATTCTCTCTTAAAATGTAGGCCCTGTACTTCCCACCTCTAGGATGTTGATCCATTTCCTTGAATCCCTTCTTAAATGTTACCTTGCTCACTCTCCAGCAGCACAGCTCGAGGCCCTCATCCACCCTTCTGTTTATTCATCAACAGTTGTTTATTACAACTAATTTGAGTTCATAGGTGTATCTTTTATTCAGTGTTAGCACATAACATTTAATAAATATAGATAACAGTAAAATGTTGAGCAGTCGACTAAATTATAAAGCATATATAAAATAGACAATTCTCTTACAGGTTGTTGGAGGCATGAGCTGGCACCAGAACCTTCCATATTTAGCTGTTGGATCAGACCGAAAAATTCTCCTCTGGAAAATTGATAATGTTTAAATCGTAAAGGTAATGATTTTGTTTTCTTATTACTAATCCAAAGAAGTAATATAGGTATGAAAGACAAGCCTAGGTGAGAATCTAGTAGCAGGAAATAAAAGAGTATGCTGTTTTTCCCGAGTCTGTCTACAGAAGTGCGTCTAACAATTAATGGCCTGGATCGAGCCTCCACTACTGCGTTGAAGAACCCACATGGGTTTAGCACTTAATATGATTATAAGAATGATCATGTTAGCTACTATAAAGGCTCCAGTTATATACGGAAATGCATATTGCAAAGGTTGTTTCAAAAGCAAATAAAATGTTTTCTCATTTTTTTGTGTAATTCTACTTTTTCCAAGTGTTTTTAATGAAACGTGGAAGGTTCATCAAAAGGCACAAGTTTAAGCATGACCCTTTTGGGTTTAGCACTTAGGTTGATTATTATTACTATGAGTACTGTACTGTATACTTTTGAACCATATATTTTATTTATTAATTTTAATGAAAAATTTGAAATATTGAATGTAGTCGTGTTCCTGTATTTTGTTCAGGTTTTTGTGTAAATAATTTGTCAGAGGTGTAGATTTTTTTGTGTACAGTTTACTTTTTAATAAAAAAAATTGATTGAAATAAATATATAAATTGTGTACAATTATGCAAATTTTTAAACAGGTATCTTGTACATACAGATGGGATTCTTGAGATGTTTTCCAGTTAAGAAAAGGAACAATAAATGTCCAAGTGACTTGCGCAGGAGAATAAAATTTTGAAACTTTGTAAATCTACACTTTGGATATCCTATTATGTTCACAAGTGCCATACTCTTATGGATCATGGAGTGCTACATGGATGACATTCTGGACAGAGAAGCATGACAGGTGGGTTAAAGTGCTAGAGAGTAAAATCAAAGTTGCTGTAATAAGTCAGTTTCAGTCTTATCTTGGGAAGTGCTAAGCACTTAGGGGGTCATATAGCACCTGAGTAATTGGCGACATTCAGGTTCAGTCCAGTGGGGAGGAAGGGGGAGTTAGTGTCTGTTTCATTCAAGAAATCAGTTTGTGCACTGAGGCTGGGATTTACCAAGACGAAGGAAGCACCTTAAACTTTACTCAAATTACTGTAATATAGTAATAATATAGTTTACTTTCAACCCATTATGTAACATGTCTACAAGTAAAAAAAAAAAAACTTAAAATGGCCAAAATTCAGTGGATAAATTGTACCTCTAACTTCTTTTATTGAATGTTTTTTTTTTTTGCAGCATTTCTGCAAACTGAGTGTACTATATTAGGAATACAATAAAGTGATTTTTTTTTTTTTTGCTATTTTTCAATATTCTGATTAATAAATACACAGACAATTCCCCAAATTAGTCTTGTATTGAGGGTTTACTCAAATTTATGCAAGTTTTCTAAGAATTTACATAATCTATTTGCTAGTATTTCCTACAGTCAGTTGTATGGGAAACTGTACTGTACATTCACCATATTTATATAGTTTCTGCCCTTCAGTGGCAATGCCTTGACACCAATAATTGTAGGTATCTTATCTTTCCTTGGATCAAAACTGATGCCCTCCCATTCCCCAGGCACTGTATGACCAACAAAGAGTTCAGCATTTAACCATATATGCGATAAAATATATTTCAAAGACCAGCAAAAACAGACGAAGTAGAGTACACGATGCTCAGAATCATTCCTTTCAGTATCAAATAACAGGAGGGTGGAGAGTATGGGTTTTGCTTTTATTACTAGTACACAAGTAACCCGCACATAGAAGAGAGGAGCTTATGATGACATTTCGGTCTGACTTGGACCATTTACAAAGCCACATTAACAGAAAGGAAAGGAGGGAGTATATATAGGCCGGCAGACAGGGACAGGACAAGAGAGGTAGTAGTAGTGGAGTCAGTCAAATACTAAGAAAAAGGAGCACTGCAAGGGAGCTAGGGACCCACTCCTACCCTCTGTGGACCCCTAGCTTCCTTGCAGTGCTCCTCTTTCTTAGTATTTGACTGACTCCACTACTACTACCACCTCTCTTATCCTGTCCTTGTCTGCTGGCCTATATATACTCCCTCCTTCTCCTTTCTGTTAATGTGCCTTTGTAAATGATTGAAGTTGGACCGAAACGTCATCGTAAGCTCCTCTCCTCTGTATGCATTGTTCCAGTCACAGTATTGTGCATTTTTTTGTTACTAGTATTTTTCCTGATGTATAATTGCCTTATGTAGTAATCTAATTTGAGAGAGAATTCTGTAAGATGACAAAGTGTCACAAGGCAACTGATTTCTGTACATTTCAAAAGAGGTACCCTGCTGCTGCTGCCATCAGTGTGGGGGCTCTTAACTCAAGGAAGTAGATCTGTTCTACCCTTGAACCCCTCGAAGGAAGTTCCTTGATGCTGATGAAGGGCTCTTGCTCCAAGGAATTGAACTTGTCCTCTCCTTCCGTGGATCTAACATGATTGCCTCTCATTCCCAATGCGTTGTGTGACCCCCCACAGGTCTATTTCGTCCACTCATTATAATTATTATTACATTTCAGAGGAGCACTGAACCCTTAGGGGTCATACAACACACTGGGAATGAGAGGGAATCTGGGTAAATACAGTGGAACCTCGGCTAACGAATTTAATCTGTTCCTTGACCTTGTTTGTATCCTGAGTCAGTTTTCCTCATTTAAATTAATTGAAATGCAATTAATTCATTCCAGCCTCTCGGGAGGCATGACAAAATAATGCTAATGTCAACTCTGCGGCTTAGTTATCTATCACAATTCATCTAATATGACATAAACAATATTAATAACATAGAAACATGATATATACTCTAGAATGAATAAAATAGGCCATAATATGGCAAGTGAAGGCGGCAGCGGCAGAAAGCATCCGCCGTTTACTCTCCCACTCTAGTATCTTCCCAGTCCATAGCCCCACACCTAGCTTGTGTTTATGATTATTATTATTATAATCAAAAAGTTATTTATGATTAGTGGTGAGGTTGTCACATATGTAACCACAGGTGTGGTCAAGACAGATGTATATATAGGTGAAGACATGATCACTGTGGCCACAGTGGTGGTGGCGGCGGCGGCATGCTGCCCCACTGTGCTGCTTCCTTCTTCGTTTCTCTAGCTTTTTTTCATAGTTTCTAATCGCTTCCTGAGCTTCTTGCTGATTGTACGCAAATACTGTCTCTTGACCAAACGACGGTTTGTATCCTGAAAAATTCGTGTGGTGGGGCGTTTGAAAGCCGAGGTTCCACTATACAGGGAAGGGGAGGATAAGTACAGTTATTTGGATCAAGAGCCCCTTACCAGCATCAACACACTTTCCTGGAGAAGTCACATTTCTCTCAATAGCTTATTAATTTCCTCTGTAAGGGCCTTTACCTGGATCAGGAACAGTCCTGATCCTTGGGACACAATGTTCATAATCACCACTTATCCTGATACTTTCACACTATCAATCTGTTTTTTAATTATTATGAGGAGCATTAAGCCTGTAGGGATTTTTCACTACCTTTGGGGAAAGATGGAAGGCATTCAGGCTTAATTCAGGATACTGGAGCATGATCCAATTCTCTAGATCAACAGCCCTTCACCAGCATCAAGGACCCTCTCTTAAGGGGAATGTTCTTTAATAATCTGTGATCTACTTTACCATTCTTTCTTATACCTGTGCTGGCTATTCAATTTGAATTGGTCTGTGATTAAGCATAACATTTTATATCTGCATTTTACTAAGACTATGATAGGAATTTGCACCAGATTAATTTATTTTCAGAACATGCTAAACCCCTAAATGTAATAGAGCATTGCACATCAAAAGTGAAAGAAACAGCAATTGAGGAAGAGGTGGAAGAACATTAGTTATAAATCTGGGGTTACAAATTGACATTGTATAACCTATATATGACCCATAAGGGTTATATGCAGGTTATACAGCAACCAGAGAAAGTCAGTAAAAAAAGTGAGACTAAGAGAAGACGAACACAGCAAGCATGTCAGGGAGTTGGAGGAAGACATCTGATACAAAGTTGGCATGCTCTCTAACAAATGCAAAAGTGATGATGGCCTCTCATGATAAACTGATAATCTTCTCTGAAAAACAGAAATTTTAGACGAATGTGAAGAAATCAGAAGAGTGATCATTGAAAGGATTCTTGTTTTTCACAATCTACACAGTGCTGTATGACCCTTTGGGTTTAGTGCTTAGTTTCGATAATCACAATCTACAGAAACAGTCTTAGTTGAGCAAAATTAACTGGACACCAAAATATCTGGACTTTATCCTTAAGTGCTGAAGCTTAGGGTAACAGTGCTGAATAGTATACAATGAATCATTCACACTAAAATCAATTGGCCTATGGAAATTATTATAAGAATAATAATAATTGATGTCTATAGGATAACTGATTTTTGTGATGATGGTTTATTGTAATACGCTTAGATTTCAGTACTATTCATCAGCAAATTTAGCTATTTTTGCCTAGTAAATTCACATTTGCTCTAGAATGTTCTGTCAACTGTGAACAGTGAGGATCCTCTTATTGATCACCTTTCTGATTTCTTTACATTTGTGTAAAATATCTGTTGCTTGTTGAGGAGGGAGTGTCAGATTATCCTGACAATCCAGAATCACTGTGGGTGAAATTATCTGCCCATTTCTATACTTCACATCTCTCTTTTTTTATATACAGTACAGTACATGAAGGTGGGAAGTACAGTGCCTGCACTCTGAAAGACGGGGTGGGGATGTTACAGTTTGGAGGGACATCTGAACTGGCAAGACAATGACCGACAGTAAAGGTGTTTGCTTCGTCAGGTCACCCAACCTCAGTTGGAGAAAGGCAGAGTATTAAAAGGAAATAATAACCATCTCTGAAAATTGCTAATGTCCCTAGTGGATGAAGTGTCCTCTTAATGAAATGTCAAATGCACATTATATCTTGTTAACTTGTCTGTATATTCTACCATAGATATACTGTATATACTTGCACGGAGTACAAAGGTGATCGAACAAGTGTCTACTGGACTTCATCCCCAGGAAGTGCAAGATCATACAGTTCAGGGAAGGAAAAAGACCTAAGGCAGAGTATAGGAGGAAAAACTTGAAATATTGAAGGACCTGGAAGAAAACTGTGGATTATTATCCTGTAAGTGTTAATAACTCAGGATAACTCAAGAAAGTCAAGTGGTGTGACATTTCCATTGGTATCCTTAGGTCATTTCTCTAAGTACAGTACCTGACTAACTTCTGCTTATCTACTACTAACTAAACAGGGGCAGCATGTGTTAGGGAACCTGCCCATACATTTTGTCCTAATCAGGACTGAACCAGAGTCCAGCATCACACATCATACCTAAAAGCCACCTGTCAAAGTCAACTGATTATTATTATTATTGTGATCATAACTAAGCACTAAACCCACAAGGGTCATACAGCCAGAGTCGACTGAACCTACTTAAAACTGTTGCTCATCTTTCTTGGGGAGCTGATAAAGCAATTCCTCCTTGCCTACATTGTCATAATCTTGTCTAAATTAGACTACAGCCTTTCCTCTACTACTCTTTCTAAACTTAATCCCATTCATCATCAAGGTTTACTTTCATATCAAGGGATTTTCGATCATTTCCTGACACGTGTGTGTATATGAATACAAACATCCTGTCTTTACAATCCTCACAAGATACCCATTGTTTCCTCTATTTTGTCCCCTTCCATAACTGTCTGACATCAGTGACATACTACTGTATAGAAAGCCCCTTGTTATGCAGA